AGACACCGGGCGACGGGAGGCGTGGTCAGTCTGAGCGACCTGCAAGGTCCATCAGGCTTGACCACGCCTGTCACGAAGGAAGGACACTGGTGTAAGTATTTTGAAAGGCTCGAGGGTGAAGACAAACGCAGGTGCACCGTGGGAGTGGAGCCAAACAGTTTTTTGACGTCTGTACGTTCAAAGTTTCTCTTTTTGAATGTTTTGTTTGTCCCAATAAAGTGAATCCTCAGTGAAGAGTTTGGAACTTGGACGCTCTCCGTGGATTCTGTCACTTTTGAGGCGTTTTAAAGGTGGAACAAGGTGTGAAAAGTGTCAACTGTGACTTCACAAATGTTTGGACCTTACACACAATGTGTTTTTGTTTTTGTTTTTGATGATGATGATAAGTTTGTTCGGATGTTTCCATAAATGATAAATTGCATTATTGTTCAGTAATCAACAGATACACAAAGGGAATTATTTTACATTGCTCATCACAAATATAATCTCCAAAAATAAAATCAAAATCAAAATAAATGAATCATTCTGAAAAGCAGTGTGGAGAAGCAAACGTTTATCTGCCCCTTCCCCCTTTTACAAAACCATTAACCCTTAGATGCAGAAGTGGGGTCAAAATGACCCCAAGGGTTGTTGTGCTTCAAAATCTTTGAAATTAAAAGTATTTCTATTTTCATATTCCAGGTCTTCCTCACAAAACATGTTTGTGACATGAGGCCATTGCATTTTATTTTGGATTTTTCATACTTTTTAAGAAATTGCAGCTTTTGTATCACTTCCCCACTCTTCCATAAGTGGGGTCAAAATGACCCAGACATTTCCTGTGGAATCTCAAGGGTTGGACCTAAAAACTTTAGATTCTTATCAACTGTGAGTGTCAGTAAACATTTCCTGTGGCACTTACACATGTGAGGGGAGCAGTGTCACCACCCAGACCTCATTTTTACACACAAACACACACGGAAGTCTTATCTTCATTTATCTGCTTCATTTCCACATTCATGACTTTTCTGTGACAGAGTATTTATTTGATTGATTTATTGAACCTTTATTTAAGCAGGAAAAGAGTATTAGTATTATTGTCATCAGATTAGCCACTTTACTCGACTACAACCACAAAGTTATTTTACTACAAAGTACTTTTAGTGCTGTGATGGATTTGTTGTGTAGAGACTCGTACTATATTTATCATTTCCTTGGAATAAAAGCTACAAAAAAAAAGCCTTTTAATGATTACTGAAAGTTTATTGTATTTTTTATGATTAGTGTGTGTGTGTGCGTGTGTGTGTGCATGTGTGTGTATCTGCGTTTTTCCCTTCCTCGTGGGACAATTTACATACTGAGAAAAGTTCACAAGTGACTTTTTAATGCACACATGGTTAAAATCTCCCACTATAAATTTCGTGTGCATCTGGGGATATTGACTGGAGCTTCGCAACATCGAAAATAACACCTGTAGCGACAGCGGCATTCGCTTTCAGGTGGATATAAACCACAGTAAGGAAGAGCTGTGGAAATCTACGCGCAAATAAAAAGAACGAAAAAGACACAGATAAGAGTTCGATGTCGATTTGATAAGTGTTCTGTGACAGTCACAGATTTAAGTACCGCTCATTTAAAAGTACAAACATACCCACCGCCATGCCACCTTTGCAGTGCGCCATGTAAACTGTGTAGTCGCTCATGTGTGTGTGCGTCGTGTGCAGGTGCATAGTGTGTGTGTGCGTGTGTGGATGTGTGTGTGGTGGTGCGTGTGTGTGTGTGTGTGCATGTGTGTGTGTGTGTGTGCATGTGTGTGTGTGTGTGTGTGTGTGTGTGTGTGTGTTGTGTGCATGTGTGTGTGCACTGTGTGCATGTGTGTGTGTGCATGTGTGTGTGTGCATGTGTGTGTGTGTGCATGTGTGTGTGCATATGTGTGTGTGTGTGTGCATGTGTGTGTGTGTGTGCGTGTGTGTTGGTGGTGTGTTGTGTGTGTGTGTGTGTGCGTGTGTGTGTGTGTGTGTGTGTGTGTGTGTGTGTGTGTGTGGTGT